GCAGTCCGCTTGCCTGACTGATGCCCCTTTAGGGACGGGGGTCCCTGGCCAGGCCCCTCCGCCTGGACCCTGGCTGATGGGTGCCAAGGTGTCTCAGACCCGAGCGTAGAGAAGTCCGGGTCCTCCCTCCCTGGCCTTGCACCTGGAAGCGGCCTGGCTAGGGACAGGCAGGTTTCGGGGCTCGCACCCCGCACTGGGGATCTGGGGCAGGGGCTTGATAACTTTGAGCTCGGAGAAGTTGGCAGAGCTGGGAAAACCTAGAGTGTGTGTGGGGGGAGGGTCCTCCTTCCAGAAAAGGGAGAGAGGAAGAGAGGAAGGAAAGGAGAGAGGGAGGGAGGAAGGAAGAGAACAGGAGGGGAGGGGAGCTAGGGTACTAGCCAGCACTCACCCCTTGGGGTAGAATTGCCTTGCACGGGGACCTGAGCCCCTCCGCGGCCCAGCTGCCCTGAGTGTGATTTACCTTGGGCGGGAGGACTGGAGGGCGGCCATCCTGCCCTGCCCTGCCCTGCCCGGCACACCTGGCTCCGGGGCCCTGCATTCCGGGCTGGGAAAGGCCGCAGAACGCTGCACAGCTCCCGGAATATCTCCCCCCCTAGGCAGCCCTGGCGACTCCCGCCAGCTCAGTCCCGACTTTGTTTCCTGATCTGCGCCTCCTCCTCTCTTCTCCAGGTCGACTTGCTGCCTGGCTCCTCCATGCATTACCCTGGCACCCACCCCATTCCTGACTCGCACCGTCCTCATAGTCTCCTGTGACTGCAGCGCCCCTGAATTTCGGACCCCTGTTTGGAAGTCTCCCTTCGGAACCAAGCTCAAAGCTGGGAGGAGGCGCTGTCTGGCTCACCTGCTCCAGAGCCGCTCACCTACTCCAGCTGTGGCTCCTTGCCCTGGGTGACCCAGCCAAGCTGATTCCTGCTTGGGGCTCTTCCCAGCTTCCTTCCAGTTGCTTCTGGAAGATGGCTCCACACCCCTCCCTGGCTCTCTCTTACTATCCCCATCATAGTTGATTATTTATGGGCTTATTTGCTCCTTTGTGTCTGCCCAGCCCCTTCTCCTGGCTCCTAGGGCTGGGAACACCACGCCGTCCCCACGCTCCCTGTCCCTTCCGGTGCCAAGAGGTGCTCAGTGGGTGGGCAGGGCGGCTGAGCAGAGGACAGGCCAGCAGGTAGCCGTGTGGCCCAAGGCCCAATGGGGCCTGTCCTGAGTAGGATTGTCCCTCCTGGCAGGGACAGCCCTGGTTGAGTGGCCCAGTGACTTCACACAGCTCTACATTTGCCTGCTTGGGGGGGGGGGTTGTAAAGGCAGACTTATGTATAACCAGAGAGAGATCATCTCAAAACTCTGATAAGCATGGTTTTGCTTGTTAACACCACAGGGCTGGGGAGGCAGAGACTGTGATCCACCCGGAGAGGAATGATTCGCCTTGTCAGACATCTGCTGTTTGAGAGCACACAGCCTTGGGAACACGAGGAGCAGATGGCTCTGCTCTCCCAGTAATATCCTCCCGGTGGGACCCCAGAGAGTCTTCTAGGAATTAGGCAGCAACCCCAGCATCTTCTAAAGTCCACAGCCCTCACGGCCTAGAGAAGCCTGTAATCCTTACCTCTGGTAAGCCCAAGGTCCCTGTCCGCATCAGCCAATTCTCTACATCCCCCACCCCTCAGCCTTGTCTACAAGAACTCCCCCTCCTGCCTGCTTTCCTCCTAGCTGTGCAATTCCACTCCATCTGCACATCGCCCCAGGCAGTGTTTCTTGGACTGTTCCGGTCCCTGTAGGTCTGTCACTGTGCTTGAGGACTCTGTCATTGGTTTCTTTGGGGTGACCTTGTGTTCTCAAGATGAAGGGTTCAATTAGCTGAGGTCAGGTGTGTATGATCTTCAGGATAAGCAAGAAAAGGCAAAAACGTGTGTGTGTGTTTGTGTGTGTGTGTAAAGCAAATGAACATTAGCATTTAAGCAATAAGCAGAAACATTTTTTGTTTGTTATAGTTTATTTGTTTCTCTGTTTTTTGTTTGTTTTGTCAGTTAGTATCCTTAGCCCAAGCTGGCCTAGAACTGGCAATCTTTCTGCATCTACCTCCCTGGAGTTCCAGGCCTGTAACACCACAGCCAGATCAAGATCTGTTTGATATTTGCTCTGATCTGGAAGTGTTTCCCCTAGCCATTTCTCCTCTTCCTCAGTGTAACAACCCAGACAGACAACAGTAAAAGTTGACTTTCACCAAATCAACACTTCCAAATTGCCTCCACCATCATTTCTACTGTTTTTAGTGTATCCTTGGCTTAACCTGTCTGTGCTCTGTTGCAAATAAAGTAAATTCTACTGGGAAAATATTCGAAGATATATGCTTTCTGATTTACTTATCTTCCAGACAAAATCTGTCTGAGTCAAAGCTATGGACCCCATAAACTCATGAAGTGGAATAATTGAAAGTATTACTTCTCTTTACTTTTCCCTCCTCTTCAGGATTCACACTCCTCACTTCCTCTATGGAGAGATCCACACAAACAGTTCATTCACAGAAACGTTATCATCAAATTACTGAGCTATTGGAGAAAAATCAGGCCTGAGTGATTGGTGGGCCACAGAACCATCATCCTTTATAACTTTGTTTAACATCCGTCCCCACAAAGAGTTATTCTGATCTCCAGAATGTACCAGAAAGAATAACTAATAGATCCAGGAATTATAATTTTTGCACCACTCCAATACTATTCCCTCTTCTTTGTTTTCCAAGTTATACCCAAGTACTAACAGTGGTTACCCACTGACATTGAGAGATCTGACCTTTTGATGGAAGCTTCTTCTACTGGCCCAGAAAAATAGGACAATTACACTTGAGGTCCTCACAATATTTTGATTTTTTTGTGGATTGTTTTCTATTGATGAATTATTGGTGTGTGTTGTACAGATCCTAAGGTACCTGTATTGACTAAGGATCACGGCATAACCTAATATTATTCATCCCCTGTCTGTATCCTGGCATTTCTGCCCATCGAATGAATTTTGTGCCCCTATTCCTGCCATAGACAACCATTGTTTTGATGCTATCACCATAAATAGTTTATCCAGTTATGGCTTTTCATAGGAATGCCACCATGCCGTAAGGTAGACCTTTGGTTTCCTCGAATACATGGCTCCAAAGAGTGATACCGAGCATGCTAAAAAGCCAATGTTCAGTTGTGTACTGCAGAAGCTTGGTTCGTTTTCCCCCAAATACTGTCCAACTTACACCACTGCAATCCTCCTCTGCATACCATATTTTATTTAACATGTTTATGTATGTGTGTGTAACCCTATATATGTTTTCATATGCTTTTATAATTTAGATCTAACTTCCACATTCAAAAGAAAACATGCTTCCCTTGTCTCTCTGAGGCTGACTTATTCCCACCTTTCTTTAAATATTTATTTCCCTGTTTTGTAATTATCTGCATGTGTCTCTTCCCCAGGGAAGTTGCTGAATTTAGTCAGTTTGCATTTGTGGCACAAACCTTAATTGGTGCTGAGTAAAGTATTTTTGAATCAGTGAGTTCATACTATACAGAACACCTGTAAGTAATAATTCAAATTTTGTTACATAGGTGCAGAATTGCAACCCGTGTGTGAAGTTACATGGTTGTTGACATTATACTAGTGTAAAAGTGGGGAGGACATACACGTGACTCAGAAGGCTCAAGAAGTGAAACTGAAAGAGCTACATCTTGTTCCCTCAGGCCCCAGCTCTGCTCTCCTGACACAGAGCATGTTACCAGCTCCTCCTGCCTTTCCAGAAGAGCATTAGGTATCTACACACACTGACACACGGATTTCTGCTACCTACACTCTAGTGTATGGATATTTCCCTCACACTAGCTATTTCATTCTTTGAGTCAATATATAGGGATGCATTAAAACTAACTACCAATGCCCTGCACACAGGTCATTTCCAGTTGCTTTCTGATACAAAATGCTGGGAGGAATCTCACCAGCTGAGGCTGCCCACCAGGTGGGCTGGTCTTCTCCATCCCCTCCCCTCAGACTCAGAAGCGGACACCACCACTGTGTGCTGCCAGCCTTGCAGGGGGTCCTTCATCCAGTCAGGTGGAGGCCCCGTTCAGCCATCACATCAATGGACAATCAGTGGTAGGGACCGAAAGCTGCCCTTCACAAATACTCAGATGGCCATGTTATCTGAGGGGAAGAGTAAAGCCGGGTGCAGAGCCATCCGCACTAGTCAGTATACAAAGGCCATAAAGCAACGAGCACACAATGTACTGATTGACCACAGCAGCCATGTGGTCATTCAAGAACAATGGTTCACTTCCTGCTCTGCAGGCAACAGGGAGTCTGGAACTGGGCCGGCCTTCTAGTCTGGCCACTAGCTAATGAGCCAAAGCATCAGGTGCTGAGTTTGAGTCCTGGTCTGTCATTAAAAAAAAGAAAAGGAAAGAAAGAAAAAGGCTTAAAGACCTAAGCAAGAATGGTCAAAATTACTTTATTACCACTACTACTGTTCCTACTACTATTTATGACTTTATTTACCACTACTAATATTTTCTCTGGAAGAGACTATTTGACAGACAAGCCTCCCTGGTAAGGCAGGAAAAGAGGAGCCGTGAGCCATAGGCTGCGCCAGCCCTTCCTGGCACCCCACAGGACCTGGACAGAGACTTTGCTTTTCCTTCAGCAGGTAAGCAAGGCTGAAGGTCCTAGAGCTTTATTCTGTCAGCTGCTGGGATCAGCACCACGCAGGCACGGACCCCGCATGGCGCATCATTTAGGGATTCCAAGTCTGCCCTGGCTCTGTCCACTGAACTTGCTCCCAAGGGATCACAAAGATTATAAATTAATCGTGTGATTGAGGAAGTCTGGGAGGACCTTGCCTACCCCTGGCTTGCAATGGTTGGCTGTAACCATAGCAACGTCTCACAGCAGACCAAGGTTCAGTTGCTGCGAATCTTTACGACCAGGTTCATAGTTCAACGTGGAGTAGCGTGAGCCTTCCTGTGACGCGTGAGGTTTTATAGCGCACGCCCAAGCGTCCGACTCCATTCCCCAATCCTAGACTCCAAATGGTAAGGTCCAAACCCTTCCCAAGAAGATCAAAGGAGCTTCACGCAAAGGAACATCTTCTCCTGAGAAAATGCCCACGACGCAGAAAACGCTGATGTTCTTGGGCAGCTTTGTCACCAGCCTGGGGGCGGTTGTGGTGATCTGCTCAATCCTGGCCACCCAGGCATGGATCACCAGCACCATTGCCTTCTCCGACTCCATCTCCAACGGGAGCCTGACCGTCACCTACGGGCTCTTTCGTGGCAAGAGTGTTCAAGAACTGGATCATGGGCTTAAAGAACTAGACAAAAACTTTGACGGTAAATGAGAAACTAATTTGGATGGGGATGGGGAGAGAGGGTTAAAATTCACGTCATCCTATATGTGGGCCTGTAACTCTTCAGAAGCAATTTCCTTGTATGCATTGCTAGGCTGGAGGGGTAAGCCTAACTTAGAATTGGAAAACCTATCATATCATTAGTCATCTTGCTGGGTTTTGCTTATCTAGTACCCTAGTCCTCTAAACAATTCTCACCAGGGTTGTGTTTGACTGGTGCCTACTTATTGATTGACAAGTACTTATGGTAAAGCATATGGCAGTACCCAGGTATGTATTAACTACCAGGAACAGCATTGTTTGAAATGAAGGTGATAGGAAATTTTCTTAGGAAAGGAATACCCTTCATTACACGCTAATCAGATTTTCTCTTTAAAATGAGAATGGGGGACTGGGAAGGTAGCTCAGTGGTAGAGTGCTTGCCTTGTATGCATGAGGCCCTGGGTTCGATTCCTCAGCACCACATAAGCAGAAAGGAGCCGGAGAAGGTGCTGTGGCTTAAGTGGTAGAGCTCTAGCCTTGAGCTGAAGAGCTCAGGGACAGCACCCAGGCCCAGAGTTCAGGCCCCAGGCCCAGAAAAATAAATAAAAATTAATTAATTAAAATAAATTTAAAAATAAAAATAAAATGAGAATAGATGGAACAATACTTTTTAACTGTATGTGTTATAGGTTTTGAATTAGAGTAGCCACCTCTGTTAAGAATTGCTTAGGGAATATCTAAGGGGGGTATAACATAGAGCCAGTCAATCTGTAGTTCTTATTTCTCAACTTCATTTCTTTAACCATTTTTGAATTTATATTCTTAGGTCCCAAATATTGCATTGTTGGTAAGGTGAGGACATTTAATTTCTATTAAGGTGTATTTTTATAGGATCTCTATCTCCCTCTCTCCTCCCCTCCATCTGTCCTTGCTCCCTCCCTTTTCTATGCCAGTCCTATGGCCTGGGTGCTGTCCCTGAGCTTTTGGGGTCCAGGGTAGTACTCTACCACTGCAGCTTCCCTTCTGGCTTTTGGGGATTCATTGGAGATAAGTCTCACAGACTATCCTTCCTAGTCTGGCTTTGAACTATGATCCTCAGATCTCAGCCTCCAGACTAGCTAGGATTCAGGAGTGAGACACCAGTGCCTAGCTCTCAATTTTTTAAAAAATATAATAATGACTTTCTCTCAATAAGTAGAAAATCAAAATGGATTGAGAATAGTAAGGTGACTTAGCTCCTTGGCTTTCCAGTTTTGATATCTCCCATTATTTTTCCCTATTTGCAGATTGTATAACATGTATGTGAACTTTGTTTTCAGCAATCACTGCAAGAATGGTCAGTTATTAGGTAACCATCGGCTCTTAGCTTACACATAAGCATCCTTATCTATCTCATGGAAATGTAATCTTTTTTTCATTTTTTATTGTGAAAATAACATATGGAGGGGTTACAATTACATGGGCAAGGTAAATGAGTACATTTCTTATCAAGCATTGTTGCCTCCTCCTTTGTTTCCCCTTCCCATCCCTTCCTATCTCTCCCCAACCCCCCACCTCCCCCCCCAACCCGTGCCAAAGTCGTAAAGTTCATTTTTTGACATAATGTCTTGTACATCTCATTGTTGCAATGGATCCACCTGTATCCCTATTTAAACAATTTGTTTTTTTTCCCTTCCCCTCCACAAATTATACCAACATCAAATACAGTGAAAGCAGGGGTTATACCGTGGGGAAGGGACATACAAAGCAACAAAGAAATCATCTTATAAATATGTTAGAAACAATCTCATGAAAGAAAAAACATTTGAATACATATCTTAGGGTTCATTTCTCTAACATCAACTTTTCTGACCTTTTCTGCTTGTCTCAGACATATACTAGATATTGCAAATAAGGGAAACCAGGGGACCTATGTTTCTTTAGGCCTGGCTTACTTCACTTAATATATTTTTTCTAAATCTTTGCATTCATGGAAATGTAATCTTTAGTCCCCACCGAGCTAACACTCTGGATTCCAGCTCTAGTTTGCTTATGACTTTGTTAATGAAATGATTTCCTTAAACCCAGAGCAACATGATGTAAATTTGTCTTGCTGACAACATTGAGCGTCACGTCTCCTCCGGGGGTTTGGTGCTCATCTCCTCTGGTATCAGCCACAGGAGGACAAGGAACACTTGCTTTATAGCAACTGGGAGCTGAGACTTCCAAAGACGGAGCCAACCCTTCCTTAGGTGAATGCACAGCGCTTTCAAAACCAGGAAGTGTACTCGCTTCCGAACCATCTAAAACAGTTTAAGCATAAGACAAGAGCTACAAATGGTCAGTTTCCCTAGTTGATCTCAACTGGAGATCAGTGGCTTCCGTGGAAGTCGGGCCTCCCTCGCTGGGCAGACCAGAGGAGGCCAGGGTCGTTCAGGCCTGGACAGAAGCCTTTTATCACCTGAGTACAGGTGAGTGTGCCATGTCCAAGGGCCATGACAGCTGCAGTTGGCAAAAACTCTGAATGAAGCCATCTTCGACAGCTCAGTCTGAGGGCAAAAGGAGGCCCAGTGTTTGCGTCTGTTCTAGAAGGTGGCTGACCATCCAGTCAAGGATGGGGCCAGGCCATTGCTCAGGGTTGGCATCCCAAAGCCTCAGCGCTCAGAACCACAGGGTCTTTTTACAGACAGCCACTGTGAGCAGTGAACTTGGGACCCTTTGTGAGCATTCTCAGGGGTAAGCCATGTTGCCAGGACATCTACCTGGTGATGGTTGCTTGGTAATGATCCTCAGCATTTCCTGGGGGACACCTGTGTGCCCCTGCTGGTATGCCGGGCCACACAGGGTTCACATCACCAAGGAAATCAGTCCTTGGTAGCTAGATGACATGTGCGCCCGCAGCCTTGCTGTCCCGTAGCGATGGGTCCACTGCTCTTTGCGGGATGTTGGCCTCTTGGCTAGAGAGCAATGGGTGTGACCCTCATCCAGCCCTGCTTCATTTCTATGTAGGATCTGCCACCCTGCCAGCTTGGGGAAGAGCAGCATGGAGGGACCATGTCTGACTTCAAAGTTCCCAAAGAATCCAGTCAGTCCACCATGGGTCAGCTGACAGGAAGACTAATTGGTTGGCCCGAGGAAGGAAGTTTCCCATTTTTAGCACTGCTCTGCTTGAGGAACTGATAGTCTGAATGTGCTCGGCTAATACCCAGAGGAGAGGTGATCAGTCCTTTTTGCTCAGACCTGAGCACCTTGTTTTCACTACTCCTGAGTTGGAGCAGCTAGCCTCAGCTCAGCTGCTGTGTGAGTGAGGACCTTGGGCTCTGACAGGAATTGCACAGAGTTCCAGGCGTTGAAAGGCAAAGACCCCCCACCAGCCAAATGTAGGAGCCACGGTATCTATGTCTCCGTGCTAATCTGCAGAGTCTGTGGGGATTGAGTCCTGGGAAAGGTGTCAGCAGGAGGACGTCTGTCTCAGTGGCCATGCTTCACCTCTTCCTTGGGTTCCGATGGATCTCTGTGGCTGTGTAAACAGACTCTTTTGGAGAGGCCAGTCCCTTGACAGCATCCTAGGAGTTCAACCCGGGCCATTTCCTCCCCTGGGCAGCAATGACACTGTGAGTCACTTGACTTTAGAATATAGCATTCATTGCTGTGGATGTTACTGCAAGCATTGCTCAGCCTCGTTGCTGACCAGGCCCTATATTGTCACGGAATCATTTTGATCAGAAAAGATTTTCTGAGATATGTGTGGTACTGGGGCTTTTCGTTCTGAGTCTCACCGTGGTTTGATTGGTCAGCCTGGGATGCTTTGGGTAACCGTGCTGGAGGTAGACAGAACCCCCTGGCTGTGTCTGCAGCAGCTCTGTCCTCGGCCTTCCCCGACGGTTTATAACCATCTCTGGGAGTCAGTCCTGTCCTGCTTATTTAAAAAAGGCATTCTCAGGTGATTCTAGGACAGATTGGATCTAATGGGGTTAAGGATCACCAGCCTCACCTTGGCCAAGTGCTTCTGAGCTCCCTGGAGGGGCGCTGCTAGAGGCTAAACTGACAGAAGAGAGCTGTGCACGCACACGTGCAAATGAGCCATGGTGGGCTGGGAGCAGGTGCCGGGACCGCCAGTCTCCCGGGGTGTGCTGAGTTAACACGAATTATACTGGTCTCTGCTCTTTGCCAACCCAGCTCATCCTCTGGGAACTCAGTGTGGTGCTATTCCAAATTAACACAAAATAAATCAGCTGCAAAAATGGATGAATTGCGAAGAGAAGGGTGTGTGGGGACCCTTTCCATCCTCACCTGATGCTGTCCTCTGCCTGTGTGCATCAGGGCGCTTTCCTCCGGAGCAGCTGCTGGTCCTTTGCCCTCACGGGTGTCTCCCCATGGCAGGTGGAAAGGACAAGGAGGGAGAATTCCCTGCAGGGCTCAGTGGGGGGGGGGGGAAACTATCCAAACAGAGGGGACCCCCGCTGGGGCCTCCTGGGAGGGGCCTCAGTCACACAGGGTTCTCTTGGGACCAGGATCCCCTGTGGTAGTAGCCTGAATTCAGGAGCTGTTTGAGGAGGGTCTGGAAGCCAAGGGTGCTGAGGGGATCCCATCTCCCTCCGGGGAGCTGGGTGTCTGGAGGCCGCAGACGGCATGTTCTGCACGGTCTGCTGGCCCAGAGCTCGTCCCTGCAGTCTTGTGTTCCTGGCCGTTTTTTTTCCCCCACTTGTGAGGTGACAGTCCTCCTTTGGACCCTTGCTCCCCAGAGAAAGGAAAGGAGCAGCCTGGATTTGCTAATTTTGCAGACAGAGAGCAGCTGTCAGATGCGATGGAGGTTCATTGTTCTTTCATACTTGCGAACTTTCTCTGTATTTTTGGCTTTCATTGTCTGAGTTCTGAGCGGGAGCTGTCATACCTAGGTGCAGAGAATCTAGAAGGCTAAAGTGCCACTCTCCCAGGCAGCTAGGGAAGCGAAGAACTGTCCCCTTTGTACCTAGAACGTGTTAAGTCATGAGACTCCAAATGGACACCCTTTTGAAAATCAAGTCAATGAGCTCTGACCCAAAGACAATGCTCCGCTCCATGATCACTTTCTGGTTGAGCAAATCAGAAAAGTAAAATGCTAACTGTTTACAAATAAGCATTCCTTTACCTCTTTCAGTAAGTGTGTGGCAGAAAAATTGGTCTGAGTATTTCAAGGGCTTAGGACATAGGCTCTGAGCCCTCACAAGGTTTGGTTTTCTAGCTAAGTATCCAGTTCATCTCCTGCATTCCCAGGCTTTACCAAGAAGAGAGCTCCTGTAGTCCCAGACAACTCCGGCTGGGATCTGGAGGTTCCTCTCAGAGCAGCGGGCTGTGTAGGGAAGGGGACGCCGGTCACCACAAGGTGACTTGATGCTACTGTCCTGCTTCTTCTGCTCCTTCTTCTGATGTCACCTTTCTCTAGTTTCAAAGTAAAGTGGGATCAGAGCACTGATTCCCAACTGAACATGTCTACAGAGAAGGGGAGAGAAGCCAAGGACAGACCTCAGGCTGGGTACAGGTATAGGCCCAGCCTGCTTCCTCTTCCACACCAGCCCAGGGGTGGCCAGTCTGGTTCTGTTTTCAGTTCAACACATGCCCGCTCTTCTATGTCCTTGTTTGGGGCACAGAGCCTGGACTGCATGCTGAGACTGGAAGCACCTTCCAGGAGTTACCAGCAGAATCTCAGGCCCATCCATGAGGAAGGAGGCCTGGGTAGGCTGAGCTTTGCTCCCAGACTACCCAAGGAGCCAAGGGTTAGTTGCCACCGGTGGGGGAGCCGTCCCCTGCTGCAGAGCTGCTGTTTCTCCTCTCCTGCCACTCTGTCCTCCCTGGGGTCCCAAGGAACATGTGGCCTTGCCTTGCTCATCTTGTGCAAAACTCTTTTCTCCTTATCTTTCCTGCACTGCCTCATTCCCACATTCCCCACTTCCAGCCAGTGGCCTGGTAGTACCCAGCTCCTGGGGCCTTCCCACTCTACTCCAGGGGGGCTGATTTCTCTCTGACCATGAGAGGACAACTGACCTCCTTCATGGAGCCCTGCTGGTTCAAAGGCAAAAGTTGTTCTGGGGACATTGTTCAAATGGTAGAGCGCCTGCTTAACAAGCACAAGGCCCTGAATTCAAATTTCAATAACACGAACTAACCAATAGCAAATATTAGTGGGGGGGGGAGTGGGGTTGGAATCATCTCTGGGAAGCCAGCTCTGGCTGTTGATCAGGGGTTGGACCCCTCCCCAAAGGAGAGACTCCAAGCTCACCCTGTGTGGCTTCATAGGAGCCTCGGGCCTCGGGGTGCAGGTGTGGGAATGGACTTGGGGTGGACTTGAAGGCGGTGCAGAGAAGGAGAAGGGAGGGCACCTTGCAGAGAGAGGGCACTCACCCAGTGCTGGCACACGGTTCAGACAGGCCTGGTGGTGTTGCCAGCACGCAGCCTGGCCCCGCTGCGTTCTGCTCATTAGAGCTGCTCAGGGCTCAGGGTGGGAGTCTCGTCACCCCCAGAGACCTGAGAAACGGAAAGGGGAAGGAAGAGAGTTTGCTTGTTCCTACTCACCCGTACGTGGCTATTGTACCTTGTGATTCCCAGTGCTTTTGTTGGCATGTTACTGTTGGCTCTGAAATCTCTCTCCTAAGTTATTGTTTTGCTGTGTGACTTCATGGACCCTCTCTGGAAGCACTTTATTCACCGTGAAGGCCTGACACATACAAGCAGATGTCTTACAGATGTGTGGCTGGGCTCACAGGAGAGCACACTGCCACATCTGGTCACTTGGGTTGTAGCAAAGGTGTGTGTGCAGGAGACAGATGTTCAGGTGTCCAGATGCTGGTGGCCAGACGCCAGACGTTGCCTAGGACATCTTGGTCATGTTTTCCATGAGCTCACATCCATGGCTGGAATTATTTTGCATTGAAGACACCCACAAACGTCATTTTAGAAAACACTCTTAGCTGAGGATTCACCTGAGGGCCAGATTCCCAGTGCTCTTGGGTTCTCTCTGGAAAGAACTATGCAGCACCTTGGCTTCCACGGACAAGGGTCTTCTCCCATCTCCCTGTTAGCCTTGAGTTCCTGCACACCTCCAACCACCCTTCCTCTCCAGGCTGCCCTGGCCCACTGGGTCCCCGCCAAAGCCAAACGCCCGTGCCAGGGGAACCCCCAGAAGCCCATCGGCAAGGCTGAGGCCAGAACTCACTAAGGGGAAGTTTCGGGTGTTCAGAGGACTTTCCCCGGGGGGCTCATGGTTCTGGTTCAACCATAGTGTCCACGTCTCACTGCAGTGAGCCATGCTGCCCTGCTCCTGAGGGATTTAGGGGTGCCCAGCTTCTCCAACTGACCCAAGTCCCCAAGGCAGGGAAGGGGTGGAGGACGCCGGGGGAAGAGTCGAGATTTGCATCTTGTGCTTTACACTCACCAAGCACTGTTTTAGTTTTAGGGGTACTGAGCGACTCTTCACCCAAAACCCTGCACTCGGTGACCATCTTGTTCCTCATCCTCAGTCTGGCGACATCACTGCTCAGCTCGCTGTTCACCCTCTACAACAGCGTCAGCAACCCCTACCAGACGTTCCTGGGCCCCGTGGGGGTGTACACCTGGAACGGCCTCAGTGGTGAGCTTCCTTCCACACACAGCCAAGGAGGGGCGGCGGGATGACCCAGCGGGCCTCGCCTCTGCCTCACCTCAGCAGCACAGCCCCTCCCCACCCCCACGGGCCTGCTCCTGTGTGGGGGTGGGGGAGGCTGGGTTTATCTTTGTCAGGCTGCGGTGTTTATTTATCAAGTGCCCCTGTGGCAGGATTGTGTCCACTCCTACAAGGAGGAGTGGAGCGAGAAGGGGGTGTGGAGAGGGATAATGGAGGCAGTCGGATGTCAGAAGGCAAATCATTCACGGGACACGCACAGCCAGGCTCTGTGGGATGTGGTGGTGCCTGCCTGTAATCCCAGCTCTCGGGAGGCAGAGTCAGGAGGATCAAGAGGTTGAAGACACTCAGGCAGTTAATGGGACCTTATCTCAGAAACCAAAGGACCAAGTTATGGCTTAAGTCCTGGAGCACTGGCCTACCATGTGTGAGACCCTGAATTCAACCCAGGACCACAAAAATGGACACTCACATGTACACACCACACCCACATGCATGCACACACACGTGCACGCATATTATTCACACATGGACATGCGCACATGTATACACATGTATGCACATATGCTTGTGTGCACACGTATACACACACTTGTTTGCTCTCCTAGCCTATATAATGAGTCAGCCCGGGCTCACGCCTGGGTGACTGGACCACTGAGCCCAGATGACGTCGTTCGGGGGATAATGGACTAGCACCCTTCTTTCTGCTTCCTGTGAGCTGTTGCTAGGTGATTTGCTTGTTTCCTGGGCGGGCTGGGGGTGGAGGAGGGAGTCCAGATGGGAAGTGGAGGAGCTCTGTTATGACTCACAGCTTTGTTGTCCTTTGTTCTCAGAGGTAGGGTCGTGCTGTACAGCCAAGGCTGGCCTCCAGCTCATCGTTCTGCTCCTCCTCCCGAAGGTGGGGATTACAAGGGTGAACTACCCTACCTGGCAGAGTCAGTGGACTTGGCACTGGCCACATCTGCCCAGAGGCAGAGTCAGGCAGTGGAGTGTTTCCCTGACAGGAAACCAGGGGTCTAACTCTCCCTCGCTTTCTGCTGTCAAAACCTGACATAGGGAACAAAACCTGAACTACTAAAGTGAGGGCCTTCGTGCAAACTTCCAGAACGTGGGATTCTTAGGGCTGTTTTGGGGGCTTAAACTCAGGGTCTCATGCTTTCTAGGCTGGTGCTCTACCACTTGAGCCGCACCACCAGACCCTTCTGATTTACTTGCTTTTTCCAGTAGAATCTCATATTTTTGTCTAGGGAAGACTGTTATCCTCCTCTTTACAGCCTCTTGATGGCTGTGGTTATAGGAGGTGTTCCCACATACCCAGTTTGTTTGTTGAGATGGGGTTCTTGATAACTTTAGCTTTAATCACAATCTAATCACCATGCAATTGCCATCTTGGTGGCTCAGGCCACCACGCCTGTCCCTCCACAGTGCATTTTAACCCAAGCCAGATACTTCCAAGCACAGCAAAGACGCTCGGAATCTTGAGGTGTTGAAAGACTTTGGGGAGAGGGCACAGGGCACAGGTGGCTGAGGGAGGGGCATTTCCAAGTTCCTGTGGAAGGTCACTGAACATGGGTTTGATGTATCAGAGCCTGCCCAGCCCAGCCCAGGCAACAGGACAAGGGTCAAAACTCCTCCCCTGTATCCTGGGATGGGCTAAGTCTGCCACATGGTCATGCTACATGTTCACACCTCCGCTCCAGGATCTGGAAGATAGGGTGGCTCAGTCACATGCAAATATGACTGGCTTCTTCCCCTCCCTCCCTCCCTCCCTCCCTCTCTCCCATCTTTCTCTTTTTTCTCTTTTTCTCCTTCAATTCTCCATTCTCTCCCTCCCACTTCTTTCCTTCCTTTTTTTCTTCCTCCCTCCCTCTTTCCCCCTCTCCCTCCCATCTTTTTCTCTCTTTCGTTCTTTTTCTTTTTTCTCCTTCAATTCTCCATTCTCTCCTTCCTTCCTTCCTCCCTTCCTTTCTTCCCCTTCCCTTCCTCTTTCCCTCTCTCCCTCCCTTCCTTCCTCACCTGGAGGTAAAAACAAATCCCCCAATCTCATGGCATCCTCCGTGGGGCATGCACGGTGGCCAGGCTCTTCGCAGCTCACAGAGGGCTGAGTGCAAGGCCCAGGGCCTTGCTTACCAGTCCAGCCATGTGCCCCCCCATCCCCCACCCCCACCCCCAGGGCAGGGGACAGGCTCCACACTACTGTTTTGCTGGTCAACTAAATTAAAGACAAACTGTCACTACTCCCTGCCAAGATCAATGCAGATTATTTCCCTCATTTGTTCATGTAATAAGAACCCACCATGACTGGTAGCTCAGGCATGCTTGGACTCAGGGTCTGAGCCCCTGTCACGGTTCTCTCTATCACTCCAATCTTCACTTCCCTGGCATTATCTGTATTGCATGGCCCACTCCATCCTCTTCAACAGCAGAGGGCTGCCAGCCACCTTGGGCAGGTCCAGGAAGACAAACTGTCATTTCTCCATAGTTAAGAAAGCCCTGGGCCCAGTTCTTGGTGGACTGGCTCCCTCTCCAGCCCTGGAGTGTTCTCCAAGGCTGGCATGGCCAAGCTGAACAATAGGGTGTACAGAGGGATGCTGGCGGCTGAAGAGGAAAAGCAGGAGCCGGTGCAGAGCCAGCCCTGAGTCAGTGCTCTGTCCACATCTGTGGAGCTCCAGGCTCTCTTTGCCTCAGCAGAGTAAGGGCTGACTTTACTCATGGCCGTGGCCTCATTCATGTTTTTGGAGGAAACTATGGGGGGTGGGGAGCTTTCCCTCAGCCCCTCCCACCAAAGAACTATACAGCTACCTGAGTCCCGGGGAAATACTGTGAACCCTGATGACCTGGCTTTGCACGCGATCTCCTGGGCTGGTGGATGATAGACAGGCAGGGTCCACAGGGCAGAAGAGGACGAAAAAGCAACAGTGCCATCCTCCAGGCCTCATGCCTTCGGACCCTAGCTTGGCTCTGCATCACACCAGCCAGGTGTGGCAGGCCCCGCCCACCGGACCTCTCCATAGAACCAGAGAGGATGCTGGAGCTAGAGTGAACTTCACAGATAGAAAGCACAGAAGCTGGTCACGTGACCTGCAGGACAGTGGTGGTATCCCCTTCCAGAGATCCTGGGCCTCTTTCAGTCCCCAGAACCCTTCAGTCTCAGCCAGAGGCTTTGTATAGGTGGAGACTCCAGGCGTCCATCAGCACCCCGTGCTGCAATGCGCAGGCCCCTCCTGAGGGCCATCAAAGCTCAGGGCGGCCTGCTTTGCACGCACACGGGTATTAATCCTGTTTCATCCCAGTCCTCTATGATTAAGCTTTTATAGGAAACATCACAAGGAAAAAGAATGAAGGATAATGAAGGCAGGTTGGCGCCTGGGAGCATCAGAGGACGGAGCTTTTGTTCATGCAAATGATGAAGAAATAAAACCACTATTCTGAAGATGAGGCCTATCATCTAGGCCTGTTAAAATGTCCTCTCACACAAAGCCCCTCTAATTAGGGCGCCTGGAGAACCGTGGGGGAACGTCCCTGCATTTGCAGTAGACACCAGGGCGTCCACAGAGCGCGGAACACAGAGCATTCTGTCGTGTCAGCAGATGAGGGGTCCCGAGGGACATCTGGCCTGAGATTCCTGAGGGGAATCTGTCTCCTGGGCCAGGCGGCTAATCTGCCTGAGCATTCGAACCCTCCCCTTCAGTCCAAACCCTTTAACAACAGCTTTACTGAGATACATCCACTGAGTCCCTCCATTTTTACAGAGCATGAGAGAAGTTTCCCAGGGCCTCCTTGAACATGTGAAAACCTTAGCCAGTCAATGATAGAATACTTTCACCAATTTAAAAAGATAGCCTATACCCTTCCATTATTACTGCTCTTCGGAATAGCTTCCACCTTGACCGACCATGAATCTACTTTATTGTAGAGCCTTTATTTTGGGGAAGGGTGAGGGCAGGAGGTGATATTGGGGTTTGAACTCATGTAGAGCTATGGCCCTATGCTGAGCCATATCTCTAGCCATTTTTTCCTTGTTTCTGGGCCTGGGGCTTGAACTCAGGGCCTGGGAGCTGTAACGGAGCCTCTCTGTGCTCAAAGCTAGCACTCTACCACTTGAGCCCCACCACTACTTCCACCCTTCTCTGAGTCGTTTCCCTGCTTGGGCTGGCTTTGAACCGTGATCCTCAGATTTCAGCCTCCCAAGTAGCTAGGATTATAGGCGTGAGACACTGGCACCCAGCCTTCTTTATCTCTAGTCTTTTTGTGCACTGGTTGGTCGTGCTTTCTGCCCAGGTGTATGTGCCAACTCTCAGTCTGCCTGTTCTAACCTTTTTGTCCACCTGGGATTCTAGCTGTGAGCCATCACACCAGCTTCTTTCCACTGAGATGAAGTCATGAAGGCTTTTCTGCTAGAGGCTTGTCCTGAAACTGTCCATTCTCTTGATCTCAGTCCCAAAGATAGGATGGTAGTAACACAACACCCTTCCCAGCTTTGAGTTGAGAAGAAGGCTCATGAACTTTTCTGCTTTGGCTGGCCTTGAACTGTGATACCCCCATCCTCAGCCTTCCAAGTAGCAAGGATTACAGGCACAAGCCACTGGTGCCTGGCTTGTACATCTTTCTTGGTTACTGGCTATCAACTACTTAGACAGAATGAAACGTGCGCTCTTGAGCTGCCGTTCAGGGCTCTCCAGGGCTGACCTGTCTATTCCCAGTGCTTAGGGCCCCATAGCCTCTTGCTGTCTGCTCGGTGGCCCAGGAGGCTCCTGCATGCTTTTGTGGAGGCTGCTACTTTCAACTGCAGTGCTGCTCCTTCCTCAGCCTTTCTGAGTCTTGTTCCTCATTCAGACCGCCCTCGATGCTTGCCCTGTTGAGGCTGTGTTCCCTCATTGACTTGATCATTAATTCAGCACACTTTCCACCTGCATCACCTTAGGAAGTGAGCTACTGGGTAGACCAGCTATCCGGCAGCTACTTGCACAAAGGACTGAGCCCCAAGATTTGTCCTTGGTCAGACCCTGCTCAATCTTCAATATATCAAAGCTTAGAATCTAGCTTGTGTCTTACATCTTTGATTACATTCTCCCCAAGACTTGATAGGGTATAAAACCCAGGTAGATATTGAACAAATGCCAATGGGTTACACGTTCCATTAAGCAAACCAGTGGCACTAACAAAGATCAACGCACCTCTAGGTTGTTAATGAAACTCAATGTTCCTTTCAGCATCCTTCGTTTTCCTGACCATGATCCTGTTTGTGGGGAACACAGACGCCAATCATCTTTCTGAGGAATTGTCCCAGCGGCTTTATCCAGCCATGATACTTGGTGGGACCGCCCACACATATGGATATTCATTTTGGCTCATATTCCTTGTCATGCTTCTAAATATAGTCACCGTGGTCATCATTGTATTTTACCAGAAGGCTCGATACAAGCAGAAGCAAGAGCAGAGGAAGCCAATGGAATATGCTCCCAGGGATGGCATTTTATTCTAATCCTACCTCCTGCCACTCTGCCGAGGATCTGTTCTGCTCCAGGAGCAGACGCCAGTTCACATCTTTGGACAATCAGTGTGGGAAAATGACTGTCATTTGTAATAGTTGGGTTTTGTTCTTTAATGTTGTGGTATGTGCTCTTCCTAGATGTTCTTTGTACCTGTCTTCACAGATGACCCCTTGGAGAGGGAATCCCACGGGGGGGGGGGGAGGTGAATGGGAAGGTCGCCAGGCTAGGCAGTGTTCCAAGAGGGACTCATTAGGGGCCCGTGGACCATTCTGAACTCTCCCTAGCTAAAATAAAAAGGGGTTGTGTTCTTCCCCCTTCCTTTGACTAGCTCCAAGTGCTCCTCCCTGTGATCCTATTGTCCTCCGGAGTGACCAGCCATCTTTATTCTACTCAGTGAACAGGCCGCTGGGAACAGAGGGATTCAGAACTTGTCTTCACAGGCCGGCGATTGGAGCAAAACGTAACAACACAGGAGGAACTCACCTGCCTCTCTGGGTTCTCAGTCACTGTCGTGTAACTCAAAACCGGTAGCAGCTCAAAGAGTTGAGAGGTGGCCCTCAAATCTATTTTTATGGTCCCAAGTGTGTCTTTTGGAAGGAAGAGGTTAGAAGTGAGAGGACTGGGGAACAATACAAATTACAGCTCCATGGGCTCTCTATTAAAGAGCACGCTACTACACTTTTGGTTTAAGTGGATTCCGATGAATTCAGTCAAAATGGAAATAGAACATTTCAGCACAGTGTAGCAAACACCCACCCACCAGCCCTCAGCTTAGTTACTGCAGTGTAGCTGAAAGGGCAGTAGCCGGGAGGGAGCATGGAACCTGTCAGCAGATTCCAGCCTGGCCGGAGGCCAAGGAAGAAATGGCTCTGATCATCGTGGCTTGCTGACATTCATCACCCGAGTGAGAGCCGGGCACACGTGAACTTGGGCATTGGGAAGTTCTCCAAGAACAGGTTGGATGGAACAGATTCACAGTTTTTTCTGAGAAGGCGGCTAGACAACCAGGAACGTAGGGGGAAAAAAAAAACACAAAACCACTAACGTGTAGTCTGTGTATTTGCCAGAAGATCACTCTGAGAATCCTTGGGGTTCGCCTCTTCCGTGAGTTAGCTGGGTTGGTTCCGGACATTGGCAGGATGGGGAAGTAATCATCTTTCAATCTTTCATGACTCGGTGGGACCAGGGCCCAAACAAACAGATTCCCTGGTGCCATTGGCAGCACGGCTACTCTTTCAGCGTGGACTGGACCATTCCTGAAGTTCTCAGGACAGATAACTTTATCACTTGTTATTTTCCAATAATCTGTCTTAGAATTTTGCTCTGGGCGGGGGAGGGGGAGTCTGTGATGTGGCTAGCACTGTGCGAACCTGAATGTTTGCATTCCTAGACTTGACTGTCAACAGAGAAGGCAGACGTCCAACACGCAATTCCTCAAGTCCAATTAAAGTGAAGGTTTGGGTTGTGGTGTAGCTCTGTAGCAAAGCTTTGGCCTGGCACGTATGAGGCCTTGAGTTCCATCCTCAGCACTCAAAACCGAGCAGAAGAACAAAACTAATGAGCACAGTCCCTTGGTTACCACATCTAAAAGTCCTACCAATTCAGGGTCACTCAAAAACTTACACAAGTTAGAAAATATATTCCAAAAATCTGGTAACCAGCAGTCAACCTTTGCTAAGTTTGTTGTGTTCACAGTCATTTGTCTCTTTGAAGGTCTGGGTGGGGGTCGGATTTTGAGAGCTTGGACAGGTGATGAGGAGGAAGGCACGCGTTTACTCATCCCAGCATCTGGGCAGAGCTGGTTTCCTGAGGAACAAACTGCCCATGGTGACCTCCAAGGAAGGAACCACTGGAAACAAGGGAACCAGCGAAATGGAGCTCTGTTTTGCCAATCAGGAGATGGAGGGAATGTCTTCTTCCCTGTGCTTTACCGTAGGAGTCAATAAAGTTGCCTGTGTGCTTACAAGAAAGCTTGGTAAGCAAGGACTGAGCTCTTTGTAGAGTTTGCAGTGGTGAAGGATTTTCCCCACCAGGAGATGGCTCCTCCCATGGCGTACAAATAGAAATATGTGCACAGTGCACACCCTTGCCAGGTGCCAGTAGCAGCCAGCCCAGCTCCTGCAGGCCTCTCCCACTGGCACCCCATCAACAGCACTGGACCCCCCTCACTGGGTGGGCTTGAGGGGGGCAGACCCTGTACTGCTCAAAGACCGCCCATGTGGAGCATCTTCCTGTACGTTCCGTCATTCAGATGCTTCTGTGCGGATGTGTCACATCTTTTATTGCCTGTGTTATCCAATAAAACGTGGTTTGCTTGTGGAGATTGGAGTTGTTTTTTTTTTAAACATGTTCTAGACACTTCTCTGGCAGATAAGAAGCCTGTGGTCATCTCCTTCATCTTAACAGTGCTTTGCAAAGGGCAGACATCAGTGATTTGTTCAAAATCCCTTTTATCACTTTTTTTTTTTAAGAAAAATGCTCCTTCTCTTACATTTCTGGACTAGATCCACTTGAAGCTCATCTTCACGAGATCTGAAGTTGCCTACGGAGGGAGACTATATCAGGGTCATCCCAGGACCTCCAAGTAATTCACATGGTCCTGTTACCATACGCCAGTCACCGTGTTCATCTACGTGTGCAAAATACATAACAGGAAGTATCATGCCCAGTAACTTTGTAAAAGTATGTAGGTTTTTAAGAAATCAAGATGTTACCCGGTGTGTGACAAAACGGCTCCTCAGTGACCTGAAGCATCTCCCCCCACCCCCCCCGCCCCGTGCACCTTGCTGCCCTCATTAGAATTGTCATCTCGACTATCCCAGGAGTTAGGAGGGACAGCACCCGGTCCCCTCGGGTGTGGCTGGGAGCTGGCGGCTCCTCTGTGACCCTTGGGTGAACAGCACAGTGGAGTCACCGGTGCACTCCAGACCCCTGGCACCCGGCGGAAATGGTGAGGAGAGGTTTGTGTCATTGTTCTTGGTGGCCGCAGGCCACGGCTCCCTTCGTCGGTTCTCTAGCCCAGCCAGCCTAGACAGAAGAGTTGAGCTCAGGTAGTCAGGCTGGCAAAGGATACCACACAGCCCAGACCAGTCCCTGGGCCTTTTCCAATGGATTTGACCAGTTCCACAAGCACTTCCTGCTCATGCAAGTTGCGTCCTCCTCTTCCACCTCGTGTGGAAGTGGAGTGAAGCACCCGAGTCTTTGTGGGGGGCGCTTGGGTTGGGGTCCTCGTGCGTCAGACCCACTTGAGTGCGGGGCAGATGCAGAGGTTGTCAGCGCAGTTCTGTGTGGTAATAGGCTGTGTGTGGTCTTGTGGGCCATTCACATGGAAAGGGGCCGTTGCTCAGGAAGAGGCGTCAATGTTTCCAGTGCATCCTGGAACTATCTTTGGCACTTGCCAAAAACACCAAGGGGAACTTCCAGAAAACATGTTTGGGGAGCCTTAAAATAGAAGGCTGTAGTTGGGTGTCAGTGTCACACACCTGTAATCCCAGCTGCTCAGGAGGCTGAGAACCATGGTCTGAAGTCAGCCTGGGCAGACAGTTCCTAAAGATTGCTATCTCTCTGCCTAATCATCAAAAAGTCAGAAGTAGAGCTATGGTTCGAATGGTCAGGCATCACCTTGAGTGGGGAAAAACACCAAACACAAAACACTAAGCAAATGTGGGGGGCCTAAGTTCAAGCCCCAGGACCAACAAAACAAGAAAAAGAAGGAGGAAGAGGAGGAAGAGGAAGAAGAGGAGGAAGAGGAAGAGAAAGAGGAGGAGGAGGAGGAGGAGGTGGAGGAAGAAGAGGAGGAAGAGGAAGAGAAAGAGGAGGAGGAGGAGGAGGAGGAGGCTGAGTCAGGTGCTCAGGGCACTGGTTCACTGCGCCTGCATGGAGGAGAGCTCGAAGGGCCGCAGTAGGACTGTGCGGGAAGGAGCAGTGGATGAGAACGCGGCACCGGTCAGCTGCTGGAGCCCCCAGCTCGCTCCCTTACTCAGGTTCTGCTACAGTTTCTCAGCTGCCTGAAGATTTTGAACAAAAATGATGGCCTCAGAATTTTGGGCAAGCCCTAATTTAAAATGGTTTTAGAAAAAGAATTTGTATCCATGGAAATCTTCAGATTATGAAAGTTTCATTTTAAAAATATTTAAAGTTTAGTAGAAAGGAAATATGTTGGGAGAAATGCATTGGATTTTATAATCACTTGCTTTAAATAAACTACTTCAGTTTTTTTATTTTGTTGTAAAGATGCTGTACAGTTGCATGAGTAAGGCAGTGAGTGCGTTGCTTGTTGAGCATTGCTACCCCTTCCCTTGTTCTTCCACTATCCCATAAACTACTTAAAAAAAAAAAAAGACCTTCTCGGCACCCTTTCTGATCCCTTCCTGCCTCTGCCCCAGGGGACTGACCCATATCCGGTTCTCCAGAGGCGTGCCATCTCCAGACACGCCTTGGGTTCACGCAAGTCGCCGTGGGTGAAGAGAGTCATCCAGGACACAGCCCATGGGCATCGTCACCAGCTGAACTCTGTACCTGACACGGCATTTCACCAGATCTTCCCAGTGAAAGCGCACTGGGCTTTATTATGAATCCACTTTATGGATGAGCCATGAAGGCGTAGCTTAGCTGACTACCCTAAGAGTCACTCCACAGCAAGGGCGGGGCTCTGGACCCCTAACAGCCCAGGTCTCCCGGGTCACGTGTCCGGGTCCAGTAACCCTACAGAGGCTCCAGGCTTGCAGAACAGGGCTGTCAGGGTCTGAAGTCCACAGCAAAGTGCTGCCTGGAATTCCACTCTTAGTAGATGAATGTTTTGGAGTTTTACAGGGACGGGGAGGGGTGAGGCGAGGGTGGGGTGGGGGTTTAGCTCAGGTTCTCACACCAACTGGGTTGTGCTCCCAGCCCTGTTTTTGACTGATTATTTTCAATATAGGACTGGTCTTCCTGCTTGGGTATGTCTCTGAGCTGGGATCCAGGGACTGTGGGTTTCTGGTTACTGCGGGCATCGCAGGTGTGTGCCGCCTTTTACCTACCCAGGCTGGCTTTGAACCTCCATTCCAGCAATCAACATCTTAAGTAGCTAGAATTACATGCCTGAGCCACCTATACCTGGCAGACCACACAGAAACGTGGCAGTGTTAGTTACTTGTGGAATCTGGAAGAATGTTAATGAACTTTTTATCCTCTATTATAGGAAATCTGCAGATCACTCTGCTATTGCAAATGTGTGTGTGTGTGTGTGTGTGTGTGTGTGTGTGTGTGTGTGTGTGTGTGTGTGTTGGTACTGAGGCTTCACTCAGGGCCTGGACACTGGCCCTGGGCCCTTTTGCTCAAGGATAGCACTCTACCATTTCAGCCACAGCTCTGCTTCTGGCTTTTTTATGGTTAATTGAAGATCAGAGGCTCTTGGACTTTTCCTGCCCAAGCTAGCTGCTCAGATCCCAGCCTCCTGAGTGTGAGCCACCAGCACCCAGCTCTATGCTTTTTTGCTTTTTGCAATATTAAGTATTGACCACTTGGAAAATAATAGCTGATCCACTTACCCAAATCTTCCACACAGTGACATATTCTTCATGGATATAAAAAATTCACACTTGTTCAAATCACCACTTATTTTGTTAGAAAAGTCTGCAAGTTCTGGGAAGCTGGGAAGATTGCAATGGCAGATGCAAGTTTTCTAAAATTCTCATTTTTGCTTGAAAAACCCACATTATTTTTCGTTGGCAACCCACATTGTTCGTTGTTTTCCTTGAGGTGTCAGACTCACTTTATGCTGTTTGGGGAAAATGTTGCCAAATGCTCATGGTTAAGCAATGATAGTTTGTCAGTCATTCGAGTAGAAGTGGAGTTCCATGGGGGAAAATAGTTTCACACACAATTCAAACCACCTCACAGGACTTTTTCTGGGGATGGGAAAAGTACTTCCATGTCTACGGCATAAGCATCCTGCATCCACATTTTAATTTTGATCGAAGGTGTTCTAGGAGCCTCTGCCTGTCTCCCATGCAAGGGCTGGAGCAGTTTGTGTGATCT